GAGAAGTTTACCTAAGTGGGAAAAAGCTGATTTTATGCAAAATGCAAAGGATTCATCAATTCTTCAAAATGATACTGCATAGTGAAAAGGAGAGGTAATGCTGGCTGTGGGATTCTTTGTATTAAAGAGTACACATTTGATCCTTGTGTTTGTTAATTGGCTTATGGCCAACAAACAGAACAGCCACTTCTGGTTTTGCTGACCCCAGGACTTGACTCACTCTCTGCTCTGAAGCTCTTCCCAGACTCAGGAGAGAAGATAAGGCAACAATCATCTGTATCACCCAGAAAAATAGAACCCAGGCCAAAGAGTTCAATAGAGGGAGTTAGCTAAGGGAAATTAACTACTGAGGGGTTGGAAGAACAGAAAACAGGGGGTGGTAATGTTACATGGCAGGGAGAGGGGCACCCCAGACCCTGTAAAACTGCCTGCTCTAAATAGGTTCTGCCATCCACTGCATCAACGCAAAACATATGAGACTTTAATGGGAAGGAACTTTAATAAAAATAAAACTTTAATAAAATTAGGAAACAATCCAGGAAAGGCACTAAATTAAGCACTCAAAGTTACCCATCCCCTCATGGGTAAAAGTCCACCCAAGCAGGATTGGCCCAGAGCAAGGCCCCAAAGCCTCCCACAAGTCTAAAGCATCTTCCAGGGGGGACCCACAGAAAAGCATCAGAAACAACCAGACAAGTCTGGAAGGAAAAGAGCAAAATCAAAATCAAGACAAAGACCGCCATTGTCACCTCCCCATGGGTCTCTCACACACATCTGTGTCACCCAGTCCACAACCAAAAGGCAAGCGTGGTTTCTTTACGTGTCTCATGTGCCTCCTCCAGGCCTCCTTCTGGCTCCCCATCCTGCTTCCCTCTTTCCTCAGTCTCCACTGCAGCTTCTTTTCCCTCTGCTCAGCTCCACCCTCCTTTTGGGTGGGGCAGGAAACCTGGAACCTCCCCCTTTTCTAGGGACCACCCTGTTACAGTAAGGCAACCCAGAGTTTAACAAAGGAAACTTTTACCACTCACAGGCTGATGAGGCAAAGAGAGAACTTGGGGTGACAGGATCTGGGCTTGCCTGTTAAAAGCTGAGGTCATGTGATCATACTTCTTCTAGTGATAGCCTTTCTCAGAGCAGAGAGAGGTAGAAGAAGTTCCCTGGATTCTTCCTTTCCTCTGTTTTTAAAGCTTTGGCCATGGCTTCCCCTGGAAGACCCTAACCAGGAGTCAGTGGGCATGTGCATCTGGGAAATGCATCCTGCAATGACAGGCCTCTGAGGCACAGAGCAATAAGGCAGGGAGCAAAAAAAGATCTGAGAGTTGACTGGTGTTTGGTAACCAACTCAAGCATAGGTGGTGGTGGTGTTTTTGGAGTCTGTGGTTTGGAGTGCGGGGTCCTTGGGTTCACTCTGGGAAAGGTGTCACCAGAGCTCCTGTTTCAGCGACATGCGGCGAGTTTCCCAGCGAGTTTTTCCATGAGACAGAGATGTTAGTTATATTTAAAGGGAAGGTTTATTAGGGGAGGGATAAAACAGTTAAAGACACTTGCACAGACACAAGCGAGCAGGAAGAGCTGCCCCAGAGGCACAGGTTTGCTAAGAGAGGCCTGCATGGTTGCGGGTGGGTGGCCTTGAAGGGTGGTGGGCAGGCAGGAAGCAACTGCCCTGCAGAGGGAGAGAGTTGGTGAAAAGAGGCACCTGCATAGTCACAGGTGGGCAGTGGGAGTGCTGCCCCGAGAGCCTGAGCCTGTGCGGAGACTGCACTGATAAAGTCTTCTTCTATTTGGGAGGGGCCACTCCTTGTGAGCCATCAGCTGGTTGCTAATTTTGGATAACTATGTAGAATTTGAAAGGGACCAGAGATTTTCAATGGGCTCAATCTCCATATATTTACCTTTGGATGCCCCTTGGATACCTGCTTGGATGTGATGTTTTGTAATCTAAGCATCAGTGCCTAAGGATACTAGTCTGCGTCTAAGGATACTAGTTTCTGCAACTGTGTCCTATGAGTCTAACAATCTTGGTTTCCATAGCTGTGTCAATGGCTATGCTAATGTCTTCGACACCACCTCCTTTTGTGAACCAGGCTTCTGGTCTTGTGGCGCACCTCCTTTTCAGTTTTGTTTTTTTCCTATTCTTTTTAAAAAAAAAAAAACTTTTATTTATTTATTTTTTAAGATTTATTTATTTATTTATACAAGCACTGGGTACAGTCAGAAGCGCGGGAGGGTGAGAGAACTCACTAGAGCCAGAGCAGGGAGCAGAACAGGCAGATGGATGAAATACAGTGCTGAGGGGAGCAGCGGGCGGCAGGAGAGGTCTGCACGCCATGTGGGACCCTCGCCCTGTGGCCAGGGACCAGCGCTGCAGAGGCTGTGGGCTGTTTTACAACCCAGCGCTCAACCGCTGCGCCACCAGGGAGGCCCTTTTTTCTATTCTTGTCTTCCATCAGGTGGGACAAAATAGTGAGAAGAGTGACTATGTTCCATGGGGATATCAAGGAAGGTTTTCTAGAAGAGGCACTAACTGAAATGGATCTCAAAAGATAGAGAAGCGCAATAAAACTAGGGGTGAGAGATGGAGAGACACTGTTAAACACTCTTTTGCAATTGAAGGTACAGACAATATGAGGGAGAGATTATTTTTTTAAAGATCTATTTATTTATGAATACATAAATATGCATTAGAGCTGGGGTACAGGCCAGAGTTGCAGGAGGCAGGTGAGAGTATTCACCAGAGATAGAGTGGGGAACAGAACAGGCAGATTGACTGAAGTACACTGCTGAGGGGAGCAGTGGGAGAGTCAAGAGAGGTCTGCTGCACCATGTGGGTTTCTCCCTGGCTGGCCAGGGATAGAACTTGTGCTGCAAAGGCTGCGGATTGCTTCATAGTGCAGTGCTTAACCCCTTGAGCCACCAGGGAGGCCCAAGGGAGAGATTATTTTGAGCCAGTAGGAGATGGATATCATTTGCTGGTGATACTGTAATTTCAGGTTTTCAGGCCTAGTCTCCCAGTTAGGAATGAATCCCAGAGTGCAGTGGCAGCGCTGAGTCCCAGCCACTAGATCACCATGGGTTGGTGTCTCACAAAGCCACAGCAGGAACTTTGCTGATGCTCAGGAAAGCAGTGAAAAGAGGCAAATTTATTTAGAGAAAGAAAAATTTATTAAGGAGAAAAGGAACAGATAAAAAGTGGGACTCCCAGGCTGGTGGAACCAGGCCAAGGAGGAGCAAGGTAGCCGAAGTGGAGTCGTGCCTCAGGGAATATGTACCTTTTCCCCTAATTATTCTAAAACCCCAACAGTCGCTTTGTGACTAGTTAGTTCTCGGTGGTCTCATTCACTCTGCTACTGTGCTTGGGATCTTTCCGCTTCACAGCCCTTTTTATTGTCCTTGTCCAGGAACATCCACTATGCCTGGTCCTGGGGTGTTTGATTAACCCCTTTTGGAATTTATTGACCTTATTGCTGGACCTTCTCTTTTTCCTTTTGTTGCCTTATTTCAGAATAAGATAAGATAACTCTCCTGAAGCCCCTGCCTGCACTGTCCCTGAAGATGACTAATCCTAACTTGCCCTAGGACTCACTGAGACCAGGTATGTGGTTGAAGAGGATAGACTTGAAGCTAAGACAAAGAAAAAAGCTGTCACAAGTTGAGTTGCTCAGGAAGTGGACCCTCAGACAGATTGGCATGCAGGGAATTTATGAGGGCATACTCTCAGTATCAGGAAAAATAGGAGAAGGGAAGGAATCAAGATTGGGTGGAGCTATTTACAATAGCCAAGATATGGAAACAACCTAATGCCCTAATCAAGAAGATGAGGTATATATGCAGGATGGAATACTACTCACCATTTAGAAAAGATAAAACTCGTGCCATTTATGGCAATAGGAATGGAGCTGGAAGGGATTATGCTTAATGAAATAAACAAGGAAAAGAAAGATGAATACTGGATGGTTTTACTTAAATGTGGAATACAGAGAAAACAAAGAGTCAGGCAAAGACAAACTTTACAAACCCTTGAACAAACCCTTGAAAGCTGACCATAGATCAGAGGCATCCCGAGGTGGGGGGGAGGGAGAAGACAGGAGGGAGGAAGAATGGTGAAAACAGGGATGGGGAACAAATGGATTATGGTGGAGGACTATGGATACTTTGGTGGTGGGAGAGTTATGGGGACCACACCTCAAGGGAAAAACACTATACTGTCAAAGTATTAACATGGATGCAAAATCATGGTACTTCATTGAAAAATAAAAAAAAAATAGATGGAGAGAGGAGTTTGGCTGTGATGCAGTCACAAGGACCTCAGCCAAGTCCCTGGGGAACCCTGGGGAGAGAATTGTAAGATATTGAAGGACTAAACAAAGCAAGACAGCAGCCATTTTAAGGAAGACGACCATTTTGAAGAGCACAGCTGAGCCCAAGTTTCGTTTCAGGGTAAAACCACAAGTTCCCCAAGGCAAGGATAAACAAAACTTAAAGGTTGCCAAAGAAAGGTACACAATCAGATTGAACTTGGTCTCTGTTGTGAAAGGTCCCCTTTTTCTGATATGAAAGGTCCCCTTTTTCTGCTGTAAACAGAGTATAAAAAACAGCTTGTCACCCTTAAAGGGGTCCTTCTCTCAACCTGATGAGACTGCTGTGTCAGTACACCAGGCAGAGTCGGACCCTAGCTTAAGCCACCCATAAAGCCTTTTTGCTTTTGCATCTCTGGCTCCGTGTAGTTTTTGGGAACCCTGGACGGAGTTGAGGCGCCAACTCCTAACATTTTGGGGCTCGTCCAGGATACCCAAATACTGCACAAAGTGGCCAAAGAAAGGCTCAGGCCAGAGGAGGACAGCTGGTTCCTGGTATATGGGCTTCCTGGGTCGGGCGGACGCGCCATACGACCAGGGGCACGGGGTTTGGAGAGACGTCTCAAACCCGCGACGGCCGACGCCCAGGGAAATTCAGATTTTTCTGGGGCGTACGCGGCCCAGTTCCGACGAGGAATCCGGAAATCTGGGGCGTACGATTTTTCGGAGCCGGTTCCGACGGTTTTTCCGGAACCCGTCCTGAGATTCGAGCCGGGACGGGGAGGCAAATTTGGGGAACAGTCACTGTCCTGTCCGGTAAGCCCGAGGGCCTGTTTTTGTTATCTGTGGTCTTCAGTTTGTGTCTCGTGGGAATTGTTGTCCCTGTCTTGTTTTCCTTTCTACAGGATGGGCCAGGGACAAACCACACCATTGTCCCTCCTGGTGGACCATTTCTCGGAGGTCCGGGCAAGGGCCCAAAACCTTAGTCTTAATGTTAAGAAAAGGTTACTAATCACTTTTTGTTCTAGTGAATGGCCAATTTTTACTGGCATCCAGTGGCCAAGTGGAGGATCCTTAGACCTTGCTGTCATTCAGCAAGTTAAAAAGCGAGTTATGGCTCTTCACCCTGATCAAATTCCTTGTATACTTCTGTGGGAAAATATTACTACCTTTCCCCCTAAATGGTTGCAACCCTTTGTTCCAAGACTTGCCCTCGCAGCCGGACAAGGAAAAACCCGTGTTTGTCTAGCACAACTAAAAGAAGGGCCCAAAAAGCCTGTCCTCCAAGACTCTTCCTATCCCCAGGATATTGATGAGAGCCTTGAGCCTATGACGCCTACGGCTCCACCTCCCCCTTATCCCGCCTTAGACCCAGAACCCAACCCTGAGCCTCTAATTCCCGATCCCGGACGAGCCCCCAAAATGTTAGGAGTTGGCGCCTCAACTCCGTCCGGGGTTCCCAAAAACTACACGGAGCCAGAGATGCAAAAGCAAAAAGGCTTTATGGGTGGCTTAAGCTAGGGTCCGACTCTGCCTGGTGTACTGACACAGCAGTCTCATCAGGTTGAGAGAAGGACCCCTTTAAGGGTGACAAGCTGTTTTTTATACTCTGTTTACAGCAGAAAAAGGGGACCTTTCATATCAGAAAAAGGGGACCTTTCACAACAGAGACCAAGTTCAATCTGATTGTGTACCTTTCTTTGGCAACCTTTAAGTTTTGTTTATCCTTGCCTTGGGGAACTTGTGGTTTTACCCTGAAACGAAACTTGGGCTCAGCTGTGCTCTTCAAAATGGTCGTCTTCCTTAAAATGGCTGCTGTCTTGCTATGTTTAGTCCTTCAATATCTTACAGAATGACCTTTCATAATTGTCCTACATTGGGACAAGGGGGATGGACCTCTATACCTTGGAGTCAGTTAGTGGGTGTAAGCTGCCCCAAGAAGAGGTAAGACTCTGGGTGAGGCTACTCTCTTTAGACAGGAGAGTCCCCAGGGTGTGGGCAGCCCCGGTGGCACTTTCATCAGCACGGGCGATGACATCCTTCAGTCGAGTCTCGGTGGACACACCACTGATTATTACCAGAGGCCCAGGTCAGGGAAGTAACTACAGTAGCTGCTATGCTCTATACCTGCACTTCACACATCTCACTTTATTTCCAGACATACCTTGCAAGGTCAATATCATAACTTCATTTCATCGGCAAGAAGCTGAGGCTCAGAGAAAGTAACTTGCTCAGTGTCCCCAGTCAGCAAGAAATGAAGTCAGGATTTGAACCCATGTCAGCCTGGCTTTATGCCCACAAGGCCAGTGAGAATACTAACCATGGGGAGCCTCTTTCCTCTCTAAAGAAGGAAGTGAGGGGTCAGTGGTAAGAGAGGGAAATGGTTTTTAGAGTGCTGGAAAAAAAAAATACAAATAACTGCAGAGCTGGACATGATAGGAGGAGAATAAAAGGATTGATTGCCAAGCAACAGAGAAGGCCCAGGTGAGGTTAGCTGGCACGGATGTTTCTGGCACATAATGGACTTTTTTATTTTTTTGGCCGATCAGCAAGATGAATCCTCTCACTTATGTTGAAGAATTCCCTGTCTTATAAGCCCAGGTGGGAGAAACTGAAAATGGGTGGTCGTCACTTTACCAACCACCCTTGCTTCAGGGGGCGTCCATGACGCAGGCACCATTGCTCATCCACAGCCCCCCAGCTTTGAAGCAGATGGTTGTGGGGAGTATATGGTAGGGAGTGGAGATCTCCAGGAAGAGATTTTTGTGGCTACGGGGTTGGTGGGCTGGTCCCACCCATGCTGGAGAGGGAAGTGGGAGGCAGCACTATGGCTGGGCACAGCAGAGGCATCTGAGTAAGCTGTTGGGCAGTGCAATTTCTTTCTTTCTTTCTTTTTTTTTTTTTTTTTAAAAGATTTACTTATTTACGAATACAAGAACTGGGGTACAAGTCAGAAGTGTGGGGGTGAGAGGATTCACCAGAGACAGAGAGAGAGCGGGGAACAGAACAGGGAGACTGACTGAAATACACTGCTGAGGGGAGCCATGGGTGAGACAGGAGAGGTCTTGCGCTATGTGGGTCACTTCCACAAGTTCAAAGTGAGATTGAACTTGTGCTGCAGTGGCTGCGGATAACTTCACAAGTGCTGTGTCTTAACCCCTTGTGCCACCAGGGAGGCACCTGGGCAATGCGATTTTTAGCACATTTTGAATACTACTCCCAGCTGGATAATTCTAAGTCTGACTGTTCAGCTGTCCTGCTAATTCTGTGAGTGACCCAATTAGAAAAAACATTATCGTGAAACAATTTCACACTTATATTGCAAAAACAGTAAGTCCATAAAACCTTCATTCACCCAGATTCTCAAAATGTTAACATTTTGCCACACTTTGTTTTCTCTCTTCATTATCTGTCTTACTATAGTAATAGTTTCAGGTAAGATTCATGAGGATCTACTAAATTAATGCCTGAAGAATGAAGATAAATGAGATATTTACATAGCCTCAAAATATATCCCCTCAAAGTAACTTCACAATGAAAAAACCTGGTAGACAGACACCACCTTAACCAGCCACCAAACGCAGTCTCAGGAGTTGGACAAACACATACCATACAAGATTTGGTAGGAAGAGCCGAGAAGAACACACGCTCACATCTATGGCATTTCTATAAAAAACGAACAACCTAAACCTACTCCTCAGGAAACACCAGAAAAAAATAAGCCAGAGTTTGTTCTACAAATGATCTGGCCCATTTTCCTTGTATCATTTACATAATTTTAAAAATTAATTTAAGGGCAACCTTCTCTGCAAGTGCTTTGTTACCTGCACATCACTGTTGCTGTGATGGGGTCCGGGCTAGTGAAGACACTGCCAGGGACTGACTATCCACTTGTAAGCCCCCCCCCGCCCCCCCCCCCCCCCCCCCCCCCCCGGGAACAGCAGCAGCAGCGGCAGACATGCTGGTTGAATACTTGTGCACATTCTTGAATACTTGTGCACATCCCGCTGAAGCTTTGTGTTTCAGTTTTCCATGCACACCTTTGCTCCATGGCTGCACAATTATGGCATATTTATTTTTCGTCTTTGAAGCTGTGGGAGTGACAAAGGGCAGAGCCAGGCAGGGTCTCTCGCTGAGTGCTGACTGTGTGCTGGTGTGGTGGGTTGCCTCCACCCAGTGTGTTGCAGTGGTTAAGTGCTCAGACTTTTGAATAACTTTCTTCATCTGTAAAATGGGGGAAATGGTAACATGTAGTTCTGAGGAGTGATGTGAAGCTTAAATGGGATACCAAGTATAAACAGTGCGCCATTGTCACAAATTTAGATCATGGCTGTGTATGTGACTACAAGAGTGTTTGATTAGGTGATTAGATGCCCCCGAGGTCAATCAGCTTTGAAGAAGAAACAGGGACAGAGCCCAGGTTTGCATTTTTCATTCCAGCATCCTCCTCCATGGAAAGCACAGAGATGACAGGACTGACAGAGGGGGCTTGGGCTGGAGACCAAGTGGCCATCGCACAGACAAGGAAATGAGGGCTGGTGGAGAGCTCTGGGCTTTCCAGGTCAGTGCGGGACACTCTCTAACACTCCCCTCTGTTGGGCTCCTCCATCGCCCCCACTCGTGCTAACCTTGGTGCTTGCAGAGTTGGGCAGGGAGCTCATAACTCGATAATTGCCTTGTGGATTTTATGGGGCCATATAAGAGTGTGCTGTGCAAACTTTTATGAGTATTTACTTTACAATGTCTACGGAAGCCATTAACACTTTCATTAGCCAGATTCAAGGGCTTTGAGAGGCTTGACTTCCCCACTAAGTTTGAATTGTGAATAAAAGTTTACAAAAGCTTGCATGCTTATTCCAAGGCAAGGCGGTGCTCTTGGTGTCTCACGGACACAGATGGAATTACAAATCCGTGGTCAACTATCCTTTCCAATTCTGTGTTGACTGGAAGGGGGCAAATGAAGATTACTAGACTACAGACCTCAGTATTTGTTACTTAGTGAAACCTGAATTTCTCCAAAAAAGCTGATCTCAAGTGACCTCCTGCCTTCTGAGAATGCACTTTCAGTTTGGATTCCATAATTTCTGGCAGGTAGGCTCTTAAGCATCAGGTAGCAGAAAAGATAAAAAAAAATAATTTCTAGTTCCTTTGAAATATGTGGTTGTGCATTACAGGTTTCTCTACCTGGTAAAATGAGGACACTCTTTTAAATGTACTTAAAATCTATCGTAAAGGCTCAGAGCTGGTTCTTGTATTATTTTAAGTGGTGCTGTGAGTTCACGTTATTAAGAGAATTACTGTATTTGAGAGAAGTGACCATTAGCAGGAAATGATCAGATAGAGAAACCAGGCCCTGGGAGTTTGCTCCCAGTAGTGCATGATGAAAACATGGATTGCTTATTTTCTGAGCACTGAGGCACCTCGTGGAGCTTGTCTGACGAAAATAAATGCACACTTTGCACATCACTTGATCCCCCCGTCCCCCAACAATATGCAAGAAAATGTCCTAAAAATGATGAAGAGAGATGTAAAAATGAATTGAATCCTACTTCTCTGGGATACAAGTTGTTTTGTTGTTACTGTTTGCTCATTTCTTGTGTATCTTGCTTGCAGTAAGTGGAGTCTGTCCTCCTTCTGAGTTCCAGGCCCATTTATCATTATTGATACATGCCAAGCCCTTCTGTCCTTTTATTTATTTTTTTCCTTTTCTCCCCCATTCCACTCTCTCACTCCCTCCTCCTATGGGCAACTGCACTTTTGCATTTGATGTCTGTCATTTTTGCCTGTATATGTTTTTATAAAATGTTTACTGTTTT